ACGACGCTATTTTTCTTGTGAGTACACTCGTTTACACCAAGACATGGCATTTGAGCTTTGACTTTCTTTCATAGATGTTGATACCAACCACAGTCTAGGCTCCAGACCGGGTCGCTGTGGGAAGGGTTGGCGTGGGTCCCAAAAGGAATCCACCAGGTCGCGATGGCGAGAGTAAAAGTCATCGCGGGCGACTTTTTAAAAATATGCACGAGAGGACGGAGGGACGCGTCTATGTACGCGCTTTACAACCTTTCGCGGAGTTGATGAGATTTTTAAGGCCACTTTTACTACCCCCGGTCCCTTTGTGCTCGGCGAAATGAATTCATCCCGAACCAGAGATAAAATGTTTTTTCCATTTCTCTCGAGTAATTTCCGACACTCGCTGCTGCAGCCCCGCTCTGAATTGCTCATGAATGATTCAGAAAGCGCGCAAAGTGCCCGCGTGAGCAATTTGTTTACGTCTCTCTCTCTCTCTCTCTCTCTCTCTGCGCACCAATGTACACGTCTTTGCCCATACGAGAAGGCAACACATGGAAAATAAGTGTTTACGCTTTTGCAAAGTCATCATGCAGGAGACGCACAAAGAATACTTACTCAATGAAAAGTGCACGGCTCGACGATTATGAGGAAATGTTGAAAAATCATCGTAGGAGCGTTTGATCATGCCACTTTTATTGAATGGTACAAACAATAGAGTGCAAGGGAATAGAAAGAGCCTGGAATATACTGACGCTCGCAAAGTCCGCAAGTGCATCGAGGTACGTGTAAATCCGGTCGTTTTAAAATCACTCGGATTAAAATTTCGACTGTTATCAGTAGGCGTGCAAAAATGCTGGCCTTACTTTTTCGGGTTATCGGAAGGCACACGGATGTGTGGTGTGTATGCTCGAAATTGGATTTAGCGACGTTATCTTGTATGCCACTGCACAACTGTTGTACAACTGTGTTGGTGAATCATCAATCTTATAAAAATATTTTTAAAAAATCTACAAAAAAGAAATGAATAAATACACGTATTGAATTTTTGATATATGTGTGGTGGAGCTACATCGTTGTACTGGGTATTTTTATATCTATTGATTTTATCTGTGATCGATGATGATAACATTTTTTATTCATTGCACAGATAGGCGGATCTTATGACGAATGATATAATAACTGTCGCGACCAAACATTCAATCAAACTAAACATTGTTTAATGGACGATTCGTCATATAAACTCATTTGGATTTTCTTTGGAAAAATTAGTATTGGATCAACACGGTTTTTTTTTTAAATCACCTATTAATTAAATGAAATATTTTTACAAAGAAGCATTTGATGAAGCTATATCATAGTTATGGAAAAAATTCAAATACATTCATATTGGCTAAACAAATATTTTGAAAGAATTTAAAAAAAAAGCTTTTGGTTCAAAGAAGTACTGTTGGTTATTATTTTCTAATAAAAACAACAATAAATAGATACTGCAAGTCATTATTTGACAGTACGATTTTAATATTATTTTTTAATTTTTTGTTTCAGGTTGTAACGAAATTCACATTAAAACCACGATGAGTCGACTTGAGTTATAATTATAATAATAATAAAAATTAATGCATTGGATGATTTTTATGAGGTAGCCAAATTAAAATAAAAACAGTCATTAGGTGATGGGCGAGAACGCAACATCAGTTAATCTTTTGAAAAAAAAGTTAATGAAAATTGCACCGTACAACGTCTACCTTGAAAATGGTCTTACAATTTGATCCCCTGACGCAACAAAATACGCAGAACAGATGTTCCTAGCGTCAGATCTTTGCCAAAGTAATTTCAGGAGATCCCCGGCCAAGCAAGCGCGCTAATCGTATTTTCGCACGAAGATTTAATTACTTCATATCTGTTATCGCCTCCTGGCTCCCGTCCCGTTTCTTCCATTAACTTAATTGCCTCCGTTCGACTGCTCCTTATTTTTTCCCCGCCACTGTTTCTTCTTTCCTTCCCTTCTCACACTCGCGCGCGGGATTTTCGACTAACGTTTTATCGCCGGCTTTCCGCGACGCGACTCCTTTCTGCTGGTACACGTAGGTACAAGTCGAGGCAAAAAAAAAAAAAAAAACTGCACGCCAGCCGTGAAAGCGCTGCTTTTTTTCAATATGATTACTCACTAAGCGTACAAGGGACGTGATGGATGTTGCCTCGAGTTTTCGGAGGATCGAGAGAAATAAGTACAGAAAAACGCTATCGCTAAATGAGAAATGCGATGTCTTTGCCACTTGGATGCGATGGGTGGATTTGGTAATAGGGAGGGTTTTTCTAAATGTCCTTGGACAATTATTTCTTACGGTTTAAGGATTGGGACTGATCTCGTTCACCTATGGCATTTTTAATAAGGACGAATTGATGCGGTTTTTATTAAAATTAAAATTTTCAGAATTCAAACGTTTAATTTTATTATAAATAAAGCCAAACCTTCTTATGCTTAACCTGTGCTCCCCTATTTCAGTAGAATTTTTAAAAATTTGTTTTTACTAACACTTACGTACAATCAGATCTGAAAAAGTTAAATGTATGCCAAGTATAAAACTTCGTATCAGTTTCATTGGATTATTCACCTTATATTATTTTAATCATTACTTTTTGGTAACGGTGTGTTTTATCTCCTGTCTTTACGTTTTCCGATATACCCTCGAATACGTGAGAGACTCATAGCCCCGTACACCATCTTTTTTCACGGTCCTTCTAAATATTTTTGACTATAATCAAAAGTACTGGAGATAAATTTCAAACATCTTTAGTGCTGTTGACTTGTGCACGCAGTCCTATGTTTTTTTTTTTTTTCTTTATATATTGAGTTTTATTTCTCTTCAGCATGGTGTTTTCTTCATCTGGATGTTACATTCCCTCGTCACTGAAGTAAGTGTATGATGTGAAGTGAAGTGAAGTATATGATGCAGAGTTCAGCCGAAATTGCGATGGATACATCCGGGGCGTATCCTAATTTACTGAAAAGTAGTAGCGATTCAGCAGTTGCTCGTGTGGATTACAAAACGAGAGCAGATGAGCGAAAAGGGTGAGAGAAGGTTGGAAACGAAAAATGAGAAGAAGAAGAAAAGTGTTTGTCTGGACAAAAAGATCAGGAGTCGAGGATCCCTTATCATCGGAGTCAGCTGGTGCTCGCGTTACCGCGGCTCATCCCCCCGACCTTTTTTCTCCAACACGGCTTACCCGACCACTTTTTTTTCTTCCTCTTTCTATCTTTGCTCGCTACGTACACGAGCAAATCTGTTGCTCGTCAACCAAACAGGGAACATGCCTGTTATACGTCCCGTGCGATAATGCCTTTGCTTTCCCTCGTACTTTTTTTTTTTTCCTGCAATGGAAGATTAAATTTTTTTTCAGCTGATGTATACCCACATACATGTATTTATTTTGAAAGGAAACGGCTGTGTGGTTTTAATGAGATCCATTGTGCGTTAAATTGGAAAAAACGATTGGTTCGTTCGCCGAACGCCGTAAATGCATTCCTGAGTTTTCGTTTGCGCGTGACAATTTCTTCAAACGCGTAGGTTTGCTTTGAACTGTAACGAATTGTCGCTGCAGTACTTGTATCGGCTTCAACGAGTAAGTACTTTGATGTTACATCCATTTGTTGTAAAAATATTGGTAGCGTTGGGTTTTTTTTTTTTTCGGAAGAACTCGAGTTTAAAATTAATTTATTCTTTAAAAGTACAGTTATATGCCAGGTAACGACAGTGATAATAAAAATTTACTGTTCTTTTTCGTCTTTGCAAATAAATTTGGCAAAGTCTATATACAGGTCTCTCAAATTATGTAAGGTGTAAATATGCTCACGTAGTTTACAAGCTATTATTCTATTGTCTGAATATTGTGAAGTCAAGCTCGGATGTTGTCATCGAATTTCGGTCAACATACCCTTGTTTTTCGGGTATTGTTCTTTTTTGTTTGTACAACTGCGTTTTTGTGGTAATAAATTGCATTGACGATCTGTGCCACAAATACCCTGTACCAAAATTCCAGAGAAACTTTTAAGCTTAGGATGTAGATGGTTATTGTTAAAAAATGTGTAACTCAGTAACGTACCGGTAGTTTTCCCAAGGAAAAAAATAAGGTAAGTACACGATTTCTTTGAGATTTCAACACACGATCAAGCTGAAAAACCCATCACGCCAAGTTTAAGTAAAGAAATCCCCCAATCACCATCGACCACATGGACCAACACAACTCGGACGGCTCCTCGCTCGACTGACGTATAGGCAATGCCCCGACTCGACCGTCACGCACTACTTGAATGTACACCCTCTCTCTTGTGTACCCACTATATACACTAACGCATGTACATCCAAGTTGGTCGCAAAGATGCATGTGCGATGATAATTCACGGGGGAAGAGCGGCCTGGGATCACTGGGGAGGTAGTACGCTCATGTGCACGTATACATAGGCACGTGTAAATCGCTCTCCAGCCGGCTACTGTGCAACCAAAGAGATATATTGACTGATGTGTCGGTGTATTCGGGGAGGAGCGAAAGGGTGCATGGACGCGCGTTATGTTTGCACGGCTTCCCATACGGGCACGTTGCGTTGCTGCAGCTTCTACTGTTTGACGACTGACCACGTGACGTGATCTGCACTTTGCTGTGCTGACGAATTGTTCTTTTTCCTTTTTTTTTTTTTTTTTTTTTCAATAAACGTAACACAGCTCTATTTTGCATCTAGTTGCTTCACTGATCAGTGCAGTAGGTGAGTTCTGATGTTGGTAAGACACGTTTGGTTCGTTCGCTCGTTTCAGAGAAATCAGTCTCGTTTGACAAAAAATGGGAGCTGGATTATGTGAATATTTATGAAAATGAATTCAAACTTTAAGTACAACCACAAGCTTAGATCAGCTTAACCACTCTCCGACTATTGTTGGTATACTAACGTTGTAAAAAACTAGGGCTTAGAAAGTAATCACTTTAATGTTGAATCGATACCACGGATTTTTTAACATTTTTACTCATTTACTTATTAAAAATTTTATTTGTACTTTGTTTCAAAACATTTTTAACCTATGGATATGTATTTAGCAAATGTGCTTTCACGTTACTCGTACATGACGGTCTCTCATCGTGATATCTAATTCCAAATGGATAACTGATCACTGAAATTTGCAAGAAAATCGCTAACTATATGTACATGCGTAACATTAAAAATCATAGTTGTCGATGAATTTTTGTGTCGTTAATTTAATTATTTACTTTGAAATGGTTTCCAGCCTGAATGGACAATGCAGTGGCTTTTAAAAATTATTTTGATCACACCACAATGCCAATGTATCATGATATCGGTAAAATACTCTATTTTTAAAATGGTTCAAGGTGTCCAGAGTATTCCTTTTGAAACAAAATTGATATTTTATCGTCAAATGATATTAATGATTGATAATAAAAATGTTTGATCATATTAGGAAATATGAAAAATCACCTAGATAAGACTTTTAATCGTCACTATCGGGATATTATCCTAAATTTTTGAGACATTTTGGAATTTCACGACAATGATCCGTTCATACGATTTTAAACACGTAAAAAAAAAGTTCGCATGGTGGAAGTATTACATAGGTAAGTGATCAATGGCAAAAATGAGAAACAGAGATCAACCCACTTTTATACAACTAAAAATCAGAATGCAACTCTATCATTTACAGATACGCGTGAACTTGATCCCTATGCCATACATCCACCGGCACGTATACATGACAAACATGGACACAAGTACTGGAGACCCTCAAAGTGGTTGGCTGCTGCACTTTTTCTCGGGATCCTGACTTGGGTCGCAACAAGCTCGAGTCGGCCAGTCGCAAGCTTTTTCCTGGGCGTTGAAGTGCAATCCTGAAGGGCAGTGCATCAGTATGGGAGTGCCTCGATCGCAGGTGTAGTAAGTGGTACAGTCGGCCGGGTTTGGCAGGAGATGGGCAGTTGGGCCCGTTGGTGGACACTTGGGTGGTGCCAATGTCGTCGGTGGCTGTGGTGGTGATGTGGTGACCGGCGGTTCTGTTGCCGTGGGCTCCGATGTCGCGTGGGCGACTAGTAGGAGGCCGAGTACCGTCAAACTTGCGATAGCTGCAATGAGATTGTTGTACAGGTGTTTAAATGCCAGTTATAATTCGTATTGGTGAAGCTCATTTGAGACTTGAGAAAAGTTTTTTTCAATATAGCCAACAAAAACAAAAATTGTAGTGTGAAGCAAAAATTTGAGCATAAGTACGTTTTCTGTAAATTTTAATTACCTGCAGTCAAAACAGAAATAAAAGGTATTTTTTTATTCAAGTAAGCTATACGATCTAAACAAGTGTTTCTTAACTGGAACTGATCCTTTTTTGAAAGTCTTCCTTTATAATATGGATTCAGAAGAGTAAAAAGTAATAAAAGAGCTTAAATAGATTATTTTTCCAAGATAAGTCCCAAACTCTTATGTGGGACCAAACAAATTTAGAAGTGTCGTCAGCAAATGCGAATACCATTTTTAAAGAGACTTGTGTCACATTTTTTTTGCTTTAATTAAATAACGATTATGTTATGATTTGTGTTGTAGTGAAAAACAATTATAAATTAACGTAAAATGAGATGAGTAAATGAAATACTGAGTTATGTAAATTTTTTTCGCGTTTTTCAGTTTTTGTTATCATATAGTTGAGAGAGACCAACAAAAAAATTTGGAAAAAAAGCAGAATATTATTTTGATTTATTTTCTAAATATATCATTGCAAATTTTTTTTGCAACGTTAGCTTATAGTAAAAATACTTAATTATTGTTGTAGACATGATAAACAAAAAAAGCTTGAGAGGGTTAATCGAATAATTAAGGTACAAATGATACGCACCTCTCATTGTAGCTAAAAAAAATCTCCTTTTCGCTCTCGATCACACTGATGAATGAACGGATGAAATGCTGTCTTTTATACGAGATTTACACATAAAGCTCCTTAGACAGGAAGCATTTAGAAAAAAAAAAAAAAAAAAAAATGACTTGGCTGCACAGTACTTCTCCTCTATCGAACACCAGCATCATAAACGTGATATCGATAAAATGAATAATCCCAATAAAGCGCGTTTATTTTCAGCAAAAATGCCTCTATTTTTCTTAAACTCCACGATTACTTATCGGCAGGGAATGCACCTACTCATCGATGACTATCATCGTTATTCGCACTATTACACACATACTTGTTCATGTACCGGAGCCTTGACACGAGCAAAGTTTTATTAGAAGTGAATCACATATGTATTCGAGAATAAAGAAAAAAGTACAGCTGCTCTTTGGTGAACTAAAGACTAATTTGGTCTATTGATTGCATTTGGTTCCATATATATCTACCTGAATGACCATTTATTGAGATGACGTTGGCCAGTTCTGAGATTAGCTGGATACCAAGTTCTCTAAAATGGTCTCTACTTCTACGTCAACTGTGGATATAAATATAAACAAAACACGTACAATGAGTCAATGATTTATTTATC